TAAAGAAAATGTCAAACATTAAAAAACAAAAAAAAAATAAAATAAAGCAAAACAAAAAAAATAAAATTAATACTTAATTTGTTTCCAGATTTTCGTATAGTGATTTAAAAAAGTAAATATAATAAAAACTTAATGGCAAAAATTTATTTAAACGTTCATACGAAATTATTACTAAAAAACTTGAAAGAGCTAAAACCCAAAAGAACAAAACACCGAAAATAATTTTTTTTTAAAAGAAAAAAAATTTTAGTCAATGTAATTATTGCGAAAAGAAGTAATTTATTATTTAATTGCGACGCATTAGATAGTTACGTAAAATTTTAGCCCCCGATCAATGATGTAATTTTTTCATCCAATGGAAAATGATAATTGTATTTGTTCAATGGGAAGTGGTGGGGGAATTAGTAAACCCGGGTTTATATAACTTATACTGTAGAACTACATAAATTTTATAAAAAACTATAATTGCTAATAAAAAAAAAGTATATTTATATAAAGGTTAGTATATATTAGACCAAAAAAATTTAAGTATGCATTTAAAGAAGATAATGTATTTAGGGAGAGTTTAGAGTAATTTTTTTCATAAAATATTCATGAACTTGATTCATAAACATAAATAGTTTATTTAAATTTTCTTTATAATATACACACAATCCAAATGCTATAAATTATATATAATTTCCTGTGATCTATTTATAAATTAAAATATAGAGTACATAGGCATTTGTATAAACAATTATATTACTATCTTTTAGATAATAATGTTCAATTTCATCCTAAAAGTAAACTTGATGTTATCATTTTGAGTATTTATTAATTTGATTGGTTTTTTTGATGCAGGTTAGCTATTTAAATATATCAATCATACTTAACATTAAATAATCTATAGAGACATTTAGAGTGTTCTCAAGCAGCATGCTTGATGTGATTTGCTATTTATTGAAATAGTGCTTAACCAATATGATGTATTAACTAGACCATTTTTGAAAACCAATAGTATAATGTTGAAGACCGATAGTATTGAGGTGATTGATATGCTCATGTATCTTCTACAATGGATTAATTTATGATCGCGCTGGTGCTCAAGCATTATGATTAATTAAAATATTGATTGCAATTGATGCTTGAGCAAATGTCTTTATCATTACTACCATTTAGTAATTATTTTTTTTTTACAAATAAAAATAAACAATGGATCAATAAAAGGATAAAAAATCTATAGTATGACACTTCCAAATTCTGCTACTTCTTACTTCTTTTTCAGAATTTACTATGAACCAACAAAACACAAAATTGTGCTATTCCTTTTTTATTTGCAGTGAATATTTTAGCATAAATAAATGATAATAATATAAAAAGAGCAAAATACTTGAAAATTATTTTTTCTAATCAATCAATAAAAACTTTGACCAATAAATGCAATTCTATGATACCGATCTATTGATTGAGGCACTTGAGAGCACTCTAAGATGTCTGAGAACACTCTTAAACTAATTATAAATTGATAGCAAAGTAAAGAATAACACTTATCAAGATATTGAAATCTAATCTTACTTTTAATCCTTTATATCGGTTTGTATATATAAATATACATCTTATACTATTTGGATATTCAAGTATACTATTTACCATAAACAATTTTCTTATTTGGATTGGATTGAGACAACACTTCATATTCTTTTGTATAGTATGCGAATATACATCTCAACTATTATGATATTATTTGGCTATCAAGTATACTATTTGCTATAAACAATTTCCTTATTTAAATTGAGACAATACTTAATATTCTTTTGTATATGTGATATACTATTTGGATACTATTTGGATATTCAAATATACTATTTGGATATTCAAATATACTATTTGGATATTCAAGTATACTATTTGGATATTCAAATATACTATTTGGATATTCAAATATACTATTTGGATATTCAAGTATACTATTCGCTATAAATAATTCTCTTATTTGGATCAAGATATTGAAATCTGATTACTTTCAACTCTTCATATTAATAGTATGTTTGAAGCAATAAATACCACTAAACATTGCTAATATTTTTATCTCTATTAACCTTTTTTTTAAGCATCTTTAAACAAAAATTCTTTTCTACTTTTCTAACTTTTACTTTTTTCTAAATCTTATTCTTAAGAATGTCTAAACAATCAAAACAATCTACCAAACGTTCTGCCAGATTGCTACAACGTACAAACAAACCAGAATTAGAATCATTAGCCTATAATGAACCACAAGAGCATCAATTATCTTTATTGCCTCAGCCTTTAGTATCTATTGGATTAAGTGAGCCATCCAAAGTTCAGAAAGATATGACACCTTCGACACAAGAAAGTAATGTTGATACTAATAGCTTACTTAGTGGATTAGTTAGAAGACACCCAAATATTCATTTACCTGAAAGGCTAAGTTAGAATCTTCTGAAACTATAAAATCAGAAGATTTTGATCGAATTAAAGAAGGTAATTTAAACAAATACATATTATTTAATTGACAATCACTTTATAGACAGCTTAGTTTACTGATAATTAATTCACAGCCAAGTTCATTTCATCGACAATTATTTCACTGATAGCTAATTTTATCGACAAGTATATTTTATAAATTATACTAACCTTAACTCTAATTTCAACAACAATGACCAGAATTACTTTGTCAGAGAAATGTTGTCAGTAAAATAATTGTTAGTGAAATAAACCTGTCAGTGAATTAATTGTTAGTGAACTAAGTTATCAGTGAAGTAATTTTGGCGAAATGCATACCACTCAATTTAAACTTTTTTTTGGTTTAATTGTATATATTATTACTAATCTGTTTAATTTTTAGAAAATTGACAACTTCACAAAAAAATTGATGATTTAAAAAATGAAAACAAAAACTTAGATGAAGAAATAAGTGTGTTAATGCAAATTAATGAATTGTTTAATAAGGAATCAACAGCATTTCAGAATCAAATTAAGGAGTTAGAAATGAAACTGAAAATAGCAAATCAAGAAAAAGGAAAAAGTAGAGCAGATAAGCTACTTAAACTGTCTGTAAAAGATTTTAAAGATAATATCCGATAATGATAACTCTGATTTCAAAAAAGCAAGAATATATATAATTTTTAAGATTTTTTTTATAAAATTTTTTGAATTACTTTTTTATTTTTTTTATTTTTTATTTTATTTAGGATGAATTAAAGTCAATTTATAAAAATGTACCAAAAATGTATAAGCTTAAAGTTGATTAGGTTTTTACAAGTGAAAATAACCAAAAAGTTCTAACTAAGTTGATTCCTGAATTGGTAAAGTTGATGGCACCCAAGTTTACTTCTCTGCAGAGCCAGTTATGAAAATGGTTAAAAATTTTGCATCGGCATTAGAGAGATCGCTTTTTAAAGAAACAATCAGGCAAATTAGATGAGGATAATCGTCGATTACATATTAATAATAGGATAACTGAGATAATATTTTAATATACAATTTTATACACAGATTACTCTCATTATAGTGATACAAAAGATTCAATATATTTAGTCTGATGACATTACAATGAGAGTGTATGCTTTTTATAGTTTTCATATAACTTTATTTTTAGAAAAAAATTCGGCGATCAAAGAGTGCCAAATCACTTTTTGCTCAAAATAATAAGCGAGTTCGTGGTTACAATAAGAATAAGGTCCTTAACCTTCTTCTAAATACTGAAGTTCATTCTCCTGAAGTAAGTGAAACTGATAAAGATAGTCAGGAGAAAAAACGAAAAATCATTGTTTATAACTATGCATGGCGTTCATTAGAGGTGTTTATATATTCAAAACTTTGGTATTATTATATTAATTGAAATCTGAGTTTGATACTTTATTATATTTTTATCTTGCTATTTTAACTTTTATATATAGCTTAAAAAACTCCTGCGTTATACATTTAATGAACATTCTAGATTAGGATTGAGATCAAGCCAAAGCCGACCCCAAAATTATGATGATTCAAGATTTTTTTATCTTGTTAGTCGTCCTAAAGATATTCCAAGATGGGCATATATTACTTCTGAATCTGAAAATGAAAAGGTATCTGAAACAAGCATGAAAAGAAGGCGAGTAACTAATTATAATAGGTCCATAATGTATAGTAGGAATAGCGAGCTTGAAACTGGTGAGTCATCAACAATTGATATGATCCGGGGTGCTCTAAGTAATAATAGTGATAATGAAGATGATGATATCAATGAGGAAGATATCAATGAGGAAGATATTAATGATAGTTAATAGAATTATAAGGATTTTTTTTTGTTTTTTTTTTTGTTTCATAATTTTTTTTTTTTGAATAAATGTATAGTTTATCATTATGTGGTAAAATCTACAATATATAGTATCAGTTTGTATTTTAAATGGATCAGATAAATATGTCAAGCTCTAAAAATAGGATCTTTAGATGTTCATATTGTCAATAGCAAATACAGTATTATAGTAAAGCATGTAATTGCATAAAAAGAAAATAAAATGCGCTTACTTTATATGTTTATATTGTCAAATTGTATATGATATATAAACATTAAATATAAAATTTTGTGTCTTCGCATATTGGTAATTTAAATAACAAGAAAGTCAAAAGAAATTATTTAATCCAAGGTCTTGGATTTTATTTGATATTTAATATTAATTTAAGCCAATGCAAGATATTTTTAACATTAATATTCATATTTTGTGGGCTTATGTTTTGGTCCACTTAGGCATTATTTTTGAAATAGCATAATTAATGATCATTATTGCTTAATAAAAACTATAAAGTATGCCGCCAATACCTGAATTATTATGCCAATGTATTATTAAAAACAAGAAAAGTTAATAAAGCATTTGCAAGGCATATATTAAAGTACTAAAAAAGGAGGATAGGAAAAGTAAATTCTTATTAACAAAATGGATATAATAGTTTAATATCTTAAAAAATATACCCACTTCATTTAAACTAGCACCAAAACAAAGAGAAAGTAGATATTGTACTCGTTAAGAAAATCTCTACCCGGGTATTATTAAATTACCCAGTTATCTGAGTAATTTATTATAGCCATATAATAAAAATGTCTACCCAGGCATATAAATTCCAAAATGATTGTGCAATAAAATCATCTCTTGTTTTACGAAGTAGTAAATTAAATTTATAAAGGTTAGTCGTGACAGAATATATTTCATCTTTCTTATCAATCCATAATGTGATTTCTGCTGCATGATCTTCATTAATAACTTTTGAAGGAAATGGTTTGGTTTTTCTAGATAGTAATGTTGGTGTTAAAATCTTACGGGGTGGAAAAATTGTTGAAAATATTTGTCTCTTTGGAGTAATAAGTTTTACTAGTATATCATCCCAAAGATTTCTTTTAAGAATATTTCTATATAGTTTTACTTTATCAATAATATCATCATTTGATATTTTGAAATAGCGGATAAAAGGCAAACAATTCTGTAAAGCTGTCTTTAAAGCCAAAAAGTTCTCATAAGACCAATCTTTAGGATCGGAAGGTAAATTCATGCTTTGAGCAATTCCCCATCTGACAACATATTCCCAAATTTTTCTTTTGTCCATCTGTAAATCATCTCGCTTAATAAGTGAAATTAATGCATTTTCTGGAAGAGAAGTGAAGTCTTATGATTCAAAAACGTTATTAAGATATTTTACAATAATATCATTACTCCATTTTTGTAATTTTTGAAGCTTTTCATTTTGAAAACTTTTATGATAAATGCGTGTAAATTTAAACACAGCTAGTGTGCATTTTCTTTAATTAATTGTGCTTCAAGGTATTTCACTAATTCATCAAGAAGAATCTTGGAAGCAACAAGGATGAGTTCAAAAATAAATGATGCTCCTTGATCTTTTTCTTATAAAACCACTCCCCGTAAATGTACCTTTATTAAATTTGTAATTTAGTAATTAAAATTAGTTCAACAAAATACAAAGTGTACAATTATTTTAATAGATTTGTAAGACTAACCCTTTATTTAAATCTCTAAATTCAAAATATAACTTATTCGTAATATCTTAATTTTAAGCATTTAAATAAAATTCTAAATTATTGATTTATCAAATAAATAACTTACTTAATAATTACTTCAAATTGCTGAATAGAAATATGCTTCAAATTAACCGTTTTAGTATTATTTTTATCTTCGCTATTTGTTATGAAAATACAAAGATCTATATCTTAAAATATTAGAATGTGCTTGAAATATCTAGCATTTGGTGATTTTCCAACATTAATGATTATATTGAAATCTTCCTTATCATCAAGAAGTTCAAGGCAATAGTTTGAAATCTTTGTGAAAAACTTTATCATTCTGATAGCAAAGATAACAAGTAAGTGTAAAATATAAAATAATATATATTTTAGTTTTGCATGTCCGTTTTATGTGACAGGTTATGTCGATCACTGAATCGAAAAAGCATTAAGTACAGATTTTAATTTGCTTTATATTTGATATTTAGGTATACTTATATAACTAAAATTTCATGCTGAAAACTTTTATTTAGAAGTCAAACTATGGTAATAAAATCTTGAGTTATTTACGATTTTCAATGAGAAAACAGAAGTCAAACTATGGTTATCATAATAAAATCTTGAGTTATTTGTAATTTTTTCCAAATAAAAGTTTTCAGCACGAAATTTTAGTTATATGTGTATACTGAAATATTAGATATAAAGCAAATTAAAATCTGCACTTAATGCTCTTTCAATTCAGTGATCAATATAACATGTCACAGAAAATGGATGTGTTTAGTTTTATCTTATGACACAATGCTACGTCACAATCATTAACTCAAAAGCTATTGTGTGATTCTCTTCCTTCTCTTATAGTCGCTTAACAAATATATTGTTAGGTCGTTATCATATCAAGATATTTATAGAGAGAGGGGAAATATATAACAGGAGGAAACATCCAAATATAGATATGATTTTTATTATCCGTTACACAGATCACTCATTATATCGACCAGTCAAATATCACTACGGGATTAGTCAACCAATCAAATTGTGAAATTTACAAAAAGACGAAACCGTGGGATTCAAGGGGATTTAAAAAATATGTTGTAAAGCAAAGTAAAAGCTTCATGTTTGTTTAAAAATTTTCAATTTTCATATAAAACATAAGTTAAGCAAGTCTTTCAATAAAGTATTGTAAAATAATATAAAAAAATTTTTTATTAATTGTGTACCAATTTTGTAACGTTTCAACATTTCCCCCTGTTAAAATATATAGCATACCAAAAAATCCAGATAAACGTGCCGACTATTATATTAATCAACTTGTCACTTATATTTATTTGAGGGGGAGCTCAGACGATAGAGGTATAACTTTAATCGAAATTCAACTTCAAATGGCATACATTTCAGACCAATAAACCAGAAACACTAGGATTGTTAAATTTTTTTAATTCTCAACTTAAGCTCTCAAATCATAGAACATACAGAAGACAAGTTTTAGAAGCAGCTGTTTCTAAATATATATGAATATTTAATTGGAATAATCTTTATATTTAATCAGTGTTGTTACATTACTATGTCCAAATATTTTTAACTGGAATAGGATATCTAATAAAATTGTAGTGCAATTTTATTATATCTAATTGATCTAATTTGCTACACAATGATGGTTATCAGAAAGATCATATGTATGAAAGTTACGAATACTGGCTCAGAAAGTAATGCTTTACACAATAGAGAGTTGGTGCGTGGTTCAAGCCGCTATGAAAATTTTACGGTTTATTTTAAGTTAATTCTTCGTTCAAGCCCTCAAGTTTTTAAATGCAATTTATTAGTGGGTGAGTTTTTCTTACATAATTAATTATTCATTTAGGTAGCTATTATTAATGCCCCAATTTTGTTATCATATCCCCTATAAATTAAATTTTTTGAGCGAAGAATTTTGACTACCAAGTTAAATTCAATGAACTTTTTTCTATTTGAATTCTACATTCTAAAGAATTCAAATAAAAAAGTTTATTTAATTTGATTTAATAGTAGTTAAAATATCTTCGCTCAAAGTTTTAAGAAAACTCAAAACTTCTATCAAAGTAAAAGCTGTATCAAAATTTTCCTCAAATTTTGAGCAAAGATACCTTGACAACTACCAAGTCAAATCTAATAAAACTTTTTTATTCAATTCTACTGACTAGTAGAATTCAAATAAAAACAATTCATTGAATCTGACTTGATGGTTATTGAGATATCTTGCTCAAGTTTGAGACAATCAAACTGTTTATTAAAATAGAGGCTGCGCCAAATTTTTTTAAAATTTTCGGCAATTCATCATGTCAAATTTAGAATTTTACAGCTTCATAGAGTTTAAAATAAACATTTTTATCAAATTTGACATGTGGTTGTCAAGTTATTTTCACCCAAACTTTAGGGTATGAATAGCAGCCATCATTCATTTATATAGTATTTACTAATGTTTTTAAATTATAAATAGGCATTATACCAATATATATATATCAATTCAAACTAATTTTAAATCATAAAAGAGAGTCAGTTATTATGACACATTTAAGAGTTGCACACATAAAAATTTTTAGAAAAAGCATATTTATTTATAAAAATCAGTATTATCATCATTACAGGGTAGGAGCCAGACATTGCCTGAATTTAGTACACCATAGATAGGTCTTTCACTTCACTCCAGCCCAATTAATCTAAATAAAAGACATAATGAAATGGCCTATTGATTAAATTAAACACGAATATGAGAAAACTTGTACATAAAAGTACTATTAATTATAAGATGGATAATTTATTATAATATACAGTCTGTGATCTCCGAGCCAATTCGTATTGTGGTATTTAGTGCAAGTAACAAACAAATATCACTTTACATAGAGCTTCAATGATTTTAACAACTGATAGCAAAAAGGCACATCTAAATGCTCTGAATAGTTTACTATCAATCCTTTTAATGTTGTATTGGTTCTGCTTAATAGGCTGATTAGCTTGCGATTATGAGACCGATAAATTTTTGTAACATGGCTATAGTACTCTTTTCAAATGCACCTACTATTAGTATAGATGATGTGTAAATGGTGTGTATTTTAAAAACTCTACTGTCCTAACTAACTCTAATAACCTGGATATTCTGAATGTCATAAACAATGCCTTTTTATGCAAAGTATAAACATTTTGTATTGATAATCTCTTCTACATGATACAAATTTTTAAATAAAGTGGTTTATACTTTATACTATATAGATCTAATTATCGTAATTTGGTTTAAAAAAG